AGCACTATTCGCCAGAACGATGGATGTATCTGCGCTAAAGTAACCCGATACTTTGAACAGAAATCGAGCATGACCCTATCAAGGGGGCCTAGTGCAAAAGGGTACAAGTACACGTTAAGGAATCCATCGGCAACGTCCGTAATACCTTCATCCGGGGGAAATGCTTGTAGCGCTACCCTCTCGCACCATTCGCAGTCTCTCCTCACCAACTCAAGGTGTTCCTCTCTTATCGAAGACATAGTCTTCAAGGTAAACTCCCGTGGATCCTGAGCACTGGGAGTGGAACTCTCCCCTCCCTACCAGGCAGACCCTAAAGTAGCAGTCATGGCCATGGCGGGACTAGCAAACTAAAGCGGGAACCTACACAAAAACTTTGGTGCTAAGGTAATAATGGACTCGACGCCGAAACGAAAGGATAGCTATCTAAAATAGTGGGATTTCCCAAGAAGCGGTAGCAACCCCATATATATGTGGGGAAACAACAACGGTCCACCTACCCAAGTTAGGCCCCGGGAGGCCAGTGACTTCAATACGAGTTCCGAGGAGGTACCCGACCTCGAGGACCTCCATCAAAGAGAAGTTAGGCTTCAAAAATCCAGCCACATCATCTCCAATCCCGAGGTGGTACCTGACCTCGAGGACCTCCATCAAAGAGAATTTAGGCCTCAAAAGGCCAAAAACATCATCTCTAGTTCTGAGGTGGTATCCGACCTCGAAGGTTCCTCTCAAGAAGAAAAGTAAGCATTTTGAGCTCCATCCATGAGGGCTCGACCTCAGGACATCGCCTAAATATGGGTAACCCCTACTCAAGGACCTATCTACAATGCCTTAAAAGGTTATCTACATCAAGTTCAAAGTAAACCTCTAGGTGCCTGAAACTGACCTTCACTCAGAGACCACTCTCAAAAATTTCAAGGTTCGATACGCTATCTTCATGTGACTCGAGGGTCCCGATGACCCGAGTCTAACGGACCATTTTCGGCTTGGTCCGAGGAACAACGATGGGCTAGGAAAGGAGCCATTTCTATCAACTAAAGACCGTAAGGAATACTCGCATCTGAGTTAGATATTGACAATCGTTAATAGAGGCATACATTCAGAATTCCTACAATTACAAAAGAATATGGCAAGTATCAAAGGTGGAAGTCAAGAAAATATCTTTATATTCATAAACATTCGCCTACAATGGCCCTCGAGGGGTCCTTACATATGATTACAAAATCCTACAAAGGGTCTCTACATAGAAACAAAGAATCAAAGAGATACACGTAGAGAGAGCCTAGAGCCTAGTCTACTCTCGAAGGTCCATATTCTGTAGCAAAGCCTTCGGACATCCTCTCTTCCTGCATGCGTCCTCAAAGACAATATCTTCCGAAGTGTTGTTTCCTCGGGAGCCTCATCCCGGTCTTCCACACTGATATCCCCAAGGGATAAGTCGAAGAGGAGGAGAGGGGAGAAGCAGGAAGGGATGAAAGAATGCCATAGCCCGCCAAAGGTCGAGTACCCTCACTAGCCAAGAGAACCTCGGAGAGGCAACAGACTTGGCGAACGTTGGCCTCGCTTGCACGGCTAATTTGAATCCACTTCTTGGGACAATGAGTCGTGCAAGCTGCCAGCCTGCGGGGAAGCGCCACGTCGAGCCGAGGTATGAAGGTAAGCAGCGGTGTATAATCTGAGCCCCCCTCCCCCGTAAGTAGCGGTGTACAGTCCGAATACCTTTCTAAAATGGGGAAAGTCGATCCCCCGTATATCATCATCATCCCGATCCAATAGCGACAGCACTAGCAGGCATAACAACAATGACAGTAATGACAAGACGATATGATCTCGCTCGACAAGGGGAAACTCAGGCAGAAGGCCACCGCGCAGCCGATGGGAATGCTGCCAAACAACCTTAAAGCCGTGAACTCCAAACATGGTGATTAACAATAAAGAAAGATGGCGAGAAGAAAGGGATGAATGAATGGAGGAAGGCACTTGGATAGAAAAATAATGCCAGAATACCCCCATTTATAGGAGATAATAGAACGACCATTTATGTCTTTGGAAGACTAACTGGTAGGTACAATTACTGTGTTCTTGAAGAACTGAATCGACAGCGGTACTGTCACTTTGAAGAACGGGAATCGACAGCTCATTGAATGGCGTCAAAAAGACAAGTCCATGGGATGTCCCAGTTATCGTGAAAATTCATGCCATAGGTTACATCATCGGCATGATGTCATCACGGGAAGCTCAAGGAGTCGGGCATCAGAATCGTTTCCCATCACTTCGTTCTAGGAAACGCACAGACTATCTGTATGCAGCGAAATTAGGGGGTCTAATTTCTTGCTATTAGTTCATTTTAGAAGAATACCTCAAGGCATCGAGGACGCGAAGCTGTGATCGAGTTCCCTCCCTCAAAGCTCGTCGAGGCCCGACCTAAAGGGAATGTCGATCGAGGTTAGAGTAAAAATGGGGAATTCCCAAGGCACGTGGCTAAGTCTAACAAAGCCGGCCTGCCTGGAACTTGTATCAAGGTGTCATGTCTAGCCGTCCCATCTTCATACCTTTACAATTAATGTATTTTGTACTATGACGGGATTCCCCTCTTATATAAAGGGGATCCTTACCATTTGTAAAGGGTTGTTGTTGCTCCAACAATTCTACACAAGATAAATAACAACTCTCCCTCTCTCTCTCTCTCTCTATTTTCTCTCTAACTTACCCTCTCGATATTATTGCTCATATTTATTGCATTCATACTTGTTCTTCACTTATTGCTCGTCATTGTCCATAAAAATCCTCCTTTAATTATATCCTAACTATTAGCCCTTTCCCAATTATCCCCGATAGCTTGAGCCCGACCCCAGGCATCGACCTCGAAGCCCCTCATCGGTCAGTCCGAGGCCAGAATAGTTAACCCCTTGGTTCGATTATAATTCAATTTTATCTCGCATTTCATCTTTTATCTTCACATATCTAGCATCAATTGCTTAACAACTAGCATAAAAATAGATCACGTATTTTTAGAGTCCCAGCAACAAATTTAATTGTTATTACCATTTTCACAGTAAACATTGGGTTTCATATTTGTGCTGAAGATCATGTTTTAGCTTTGTTGAGATACTTAAATATGGTTCTTGAAGTTTATTTAATTGTTTATTGGTGCAAGAGATTTGATTGTCGTTCAGGTGGTGTATTTTGCTTAACCACTCTTCTTGATATTATCCATGCTTCCTACCCTGCTTGTTGTTGATGTATATATGCTTGGTGAGGAAGAGTGTAAAAAACAAAAGGCGATGTCGTGCATTGTATTTACATTATCATGTAAGGATGAGAGTAAAAGCACGAAGGTAATCTCGTGTCATTGTTTAAAAGCGCGAAGGGTGATGTCGTACCATTGCTTTATATTATCAGATGATGAAGAGAGTAAAAGCAAGAATGTTGATGTCGTGCAATAATTTTTATATTATAATGTGAGGATGGGAGTTCATGGAACGAAGGATATTTTCGTGCATGTGAGGGCGAGAGTAATGCATTATATTATGTTATCTTTCCATTGCATATACATTTATGCCTTTATCCTGAGTTATTATAGTTGCACCTATGCTTTCTATGTTGCTTGATTGTTGTTGTTACATCTCGCATTTTTCGTACATTAAAGCTTCGTCTTCATTTAATTGACGTAGACTCGGGGATGAGATTATCTTGAGATTAGCATATTTATGTTATTTATAACAAGCAATCGGTAAGGGCCATGAAGGATAAAGGGTGCACGAATTAAAGAAAATGAGTTTCGTTGAAGGTTGTCGATGTGGGATAAAATACGGGCCGAGCGACAATACCCGATATTTATAGACTAGTACCATACAAGGTACCATATGACCATGATAATATGATGTATAAAGTATATTTAAAATAAGTAAAATTTTAAGTAATTTGAGATAATTCTTAATTATGTGGGTAATTGATTAATTATCAGGTAGCGGGATAATACCTAATTAATTATTAATTATAGAATAAGATTTAATAAAAACCCTTCCCCACCCTATGTGGCATCAAGCCACCACCCAACCCAAATGACTCTTTAGTCATGTCGGGTAGGTGGCAATTTAAGGTGCTAACTAAACTACACCTCATACTAACATTTTCCAAGGCAAAATGACTACACCCTCATATTGGCTCAAAGAGGAGATTTCTTAAAGAGATATTCAACTAAGTCCTTACAACCAAAAACTAACGAATTGCTACAAATTCACCAATTCTCTCAAGAATTTGTACACATTAAGTAGCGTGTTTAAGGCATATAGTAACCTACAACTTTCACAGTCCAACGTAAAATTTTACGATTCTAAAGGAGTAGGTGCAACCTTTTCCGAGAACATCATACAAATTTTTTCCACTCCAGGTATGTTAAGGCTAAGCTCTTCCTTTATTTAGGCATGCTCTCGTAATTACACGCACTACAACATTTTAGGCCTACGACCACCCCGAACAAGTGTGGCCTAAACTAGCAAAAAGTGTGACCTTTGATTAAAGGCCACACTTTTCAACTTTAGGCAACGCCTTTATTGGGGGTGGCCAAAACAAGCGTAACCTTTGACCTAAGGGCACGCTTTTCAATTGTTGCCTTATCAGCCAAGCTTAAAAGCGTGGCCTATTAGATGACAAAGACAACGCTTATTATACCCCATATGAGAACGCTTTTATATCTTACAGCTACACTCGAAAAGCGTGGCATTTATTATCTTATAGGCCACACTTGTTAAGTGTGGCTTCTAAAAGAACACTTTCAAAGCATGGTGTACAAACATATGGCAACACTTTTAAAGTGTGGCAAATTGGCTAGAGTATACAATTTATATTTTGATTTTTTTATAAATTTACATTTTGCATAAAATCCTGTAATTACAGTTATTTCAAGCATATCCATTATTATCATATATTTTGATGGTAGAAAGAACTAAATTAGCTAATAAGTACCAAAAAATAATAATTCAAATGAATACACATACTAATAAAACAATGAGTCAAAATGCCCATTAACAATAAATTTTACAAAAGTGAGTATATTCATATAGTATCATGAATATTAGACATCCTAATTATCCAATAATTCTTCACGTTCACATTAAGATCAAATTGACATTCCGCCACCATTTTCAGTAACATCACCCATATTATCCTATACATAAAAAAAATATAATTAGATAGAAACTAAACTTTGATCTTTCGCCAAGAAGAACAAAGACGAGGATAACATATAATAGCACCATATTTTACATATTTTTTAGTCACAATAAAAAAAATAATTAATGAGTAACCATGCAATACATGAATTGCCATGTCGGAGCAACATAGCTAAAAATGCAAAGACTAAAAGACCTTAAATGAAAAAAGCAAGTATACTTGCCTATTTAGAGCATAATCAACTCCGGCAGCATCAGCTCCATCAAAGCTGAATCCATTTAGTTCAAGACCACACTGTTGTGCTCTCTCTTTGTCACGGTCAACATCAAATACAGTATCATAAAGTCCTAAAATAGAGAATGCAGAGGTTAATACACAAATTCAGAAGCAAATGAATTGGGATCTGCTAAAATAATAATCAAGTCAAGGGCATCAAATTTAAATTCTAGCATGTGCAGACAAATATTTATTATCGCACTTAATCAAGAAAATGCAATATGCTCCTGTAAATCCAATATACATCAAGTGAATTCACTACTAAAAGAGAAAAACTACAATTGAAAATTCTGATCGGTAGCATTACACAGACATAGTAGTAGTTGGTTTATTGGTGGCTTGCATACCATATGTGAACATCTGCAGTTGCAATGCCACAAGTTGCCTCTAACAATAGACCTTCAATGATCAAGGCTGCCAGATATCCATTCTCACGTTGACTTAAAGGAAATTATGCACATTCAATTTTAGTCAACTAACCAAGGTGTTTTCCCCCACTACTTCAATTTAAACACCTCTGAAAATCTAAAAGTAGCATCCTTATAGGGGTGATGGAAAACAAATTGTAGCAGATGATGGATTTGAAAATCATGGAACTGCAGGGCAAAAAAATCCTGGGCAAAATAGTGCAGCAGACGTAGGAATTTCAGCTGGTGTTCAAGTTGCATTAGGTTTTCAAGTTGTTAGGAATCCTGGGAACCAAGGGTGTGATGAGTTAAATAAAGAATCAGATGTTGTTTCCATCACTACCCCTGTTGCAGCAGCTTCTAATGCTATTGCAACAGCTGAACAATGTGAGAAACAGCAGTACCAGTCCAATCTTCAGTAGCCCTGTAACACTATGCAATATGAGGGGTAGAAATTGGAAGGTGTAGCTGCTGCTATCAATATGGAAAATGCTACTGTATTAGCTCGAGATGTACTTCCAACTCCTGAATACTCACAGATGGCCAAACCAATAGCAACTCCTGCTACATTGCCAAAAAATGTTGCAGTTGAACAAATTGAGGGACAGCAGATAAAATCCCAGTTGCAGCAATTACTGAGGATCAATACTGGGCAAAATAGTCCTGCTTCAACTGGAGTTACTAAGGAGTATGGTAAGTTTTTTAGATCTAACAATGTGCAGGAAGAAGTGGAGACCAAAACTACTAATGCAACTATGTATGGTGGCTCATATGTTGGGAGTGCTAGATTGAATGCTGCTACTGCAAGAAAACAAATTGGTGTGACAGATGCTGATACACGTACTGTTACATTGGTTGAATTAGCTGATGGAGCAACAGATATGGGTGCTACAGTTGAGGAAACTCAATGTAGATGTAATGGAATTGGAGTATGCAGCTTCAACAGGATATAAGTTGATGAATGTAGTGACTAAGCAACCTCAAATCTCAGCTGGAATAAAGCAAGCAACAACAGAGATTCTGAAACCAACTATTGCATTGAACACTACTGTGGCTCGAACAACTTCTAAGGATGAAAAATCAAGGGGCAAAGGTACTGGCTAGGTACTACACACAACAAGCCAATCACCAACACATCAACGACAATCTGACACAAAGAATAACAAGCGTAGCAACCGGATAGTAGCTAATCTTTCTATATTTGCTAAACTAACTCTAAGATCTACATCACCTAATTCAAGACCAAAAATTTCGACAATAAACTCAATACAAAGCGGAAAGCATTTAAGTTTGGTGGAAATGTGGAGTCTAAATACCTTTTCAAGAATTGGATCATGGGTTGACCCAGAAGAGTGTGGAATGGCCTTTTACAACCTGTGCGCTACTTGCATCAACTGGAGAAGGTTGGTTACAACCTGTGCGCTACTTGCATCAAAATTGATTGTTCTTACATTGACATATTCCCACATTCGTTGTTTAATATCATCAAAGACAGCATGCCAATTAATGAACAACAAGGTGATAAATCTGGGATTCCTGGTAATTGTTCCTATAAAGTTGCTTAACTCAAATACTCTTTTGCAGGTTGGTCCAATAGCTTGCCCTTTATCAAATGTGACTTCCTCTCTTTCCTCAAAATTTCTTGCGTGAATCATCTTACATTTTGTTTGCCCTCGAACTTTCTTCTTATCTGATATCCCTATACTTATGTAATATACAAGACATAAGGAAAAGAATACAATAAACACACAAAATTGCAAGGTTTAAGACATACCACCTGTAGCAGAATCAACGTCCATAGCTTCGTCTCTAACACAGTCATCCTTGCCAACTTCTTCCTGTCCAAAAATTGCTGGAACGCTATGTGAAAATGTAGAAACACTATGTAGAATTGCAGAAATTGCCGAAACGCTGTGCAGAAATGCAGAAAAACTGTGTAGAAATGCAAAATTTGCCAAAATGTTGCGCAGATATGCAGAAAATGCAGGAAAACCTGTGCAGAAACGCAAAAAACACTGTTTAGAAATACAAAAAATTCTGAAATATAGTGCAGAAACCCAAAAATAATATGCAGAAAATACACTGTTCAAAAATGCAGAAATAATGTGTAGAAATGCCGAAATGCTATGCAGAAAATATAGAAACACTGTGCAGAATCACAAAAACAGTGTGCAGAATTGCAGAAATTGCCGAAACACTCTTGTCACGACCCCGGTTTGCCCTCCGTGAACCATCGTGACGGCACCTAGTCTCTACGACTAGGTAAGCCTAAAATGCAGAATATAAACAAATTTGCGGAAGAATACAATTTAAAACAGAAATAATATAATAAAACAACATTTTAAAAAGTGTCGCTCGGCATACAAAATATAACTCTCAAATCCAATATACATTTCTCCCAAAACCCGGAAACCCATGAATCACAAGCTAAGGATATTACATAATGCTCCAACTCCAGAATAGTCTAAAACAAGTATATAGAGAAGGGTTGTAACTACAAGAGAGAATAGAGAGAGACTTCTTGGTCTGCGGATGCGACAGATATACCTCGAAGTCTCCGAAGGGTCGCCTCACCTCAAGGATGGTAAGTCTGAGTCAAGGTACCTGGATCTGCACATGAAAAATATGCGCAGAAAGGGCATGAGTACACTACAGCGGTACTTAGTAAATGTCAAGCCTAACCTCGATCGGGTAGTAACGATGAAGGTCAGAGCCCTACTAAGGTAAAATAAAAATATAAGATATGACGGTATAAGATAAGCAGTACATTCAAAAACTAACACTAAGAATTTAATTTAGGGAAACAAAGAATTCAATAACTGAAATAGAGGCAAAAACAATCACAAGGAAATAACCGGGGATCGCTCAGTATCTCGAGGATCTCTTAGTACCCTCAATATATGCCAGGGATCTCTTGGTATCCCGAGGATCTCTCGGTATCCTCAATATATGTCAGGGATCTCTTGGTATCCTCAATATATGTGTCAGGGATCTCTTGGCATCCCGAGGATCTCTTGGTATCCTCAATATATGTGCCAGGGATCTCTCGGTATCCCGCACCTCAGTTCAAATCATAAATACGTACAGGGGATCTCCCGGGATGCCGTCTCGTAGTCCCAAAGTAAAACACACAGCAGCAACACAACAATACTCAATTAAGCTCAATTTCGTATCAAGTACACAAGTAATTCTAATCTAACATGCTTCACATAATTCAATTAACGCAGTTTAGGCAAATAAACAGTTCAGTCAATTAGACATGCTTTTTCTAAGCTAACAGCAGGTTTAAATTGCAAGTAAAATGAAACAGGAAAAAGAACACAATTGAAATTACTTAAAGAAAATAGGATTTTCAACAATTAGCTCAAGTAGGCACTCGTCACCTCACGTACAAGGCATTTCAAATATCAAATATACCAAATCCTAAGGGGAAGATCCCCCACACAAGGTTAGGCAAGTCATTTACCTCGAACCGGCTCAATAATTAACCCGAAACCACGTCTTTTCCACGAGTACTCGACACCAAATGGCCCAAATCTATTCAATTCAATTGCATAACGTAAATAACAGTTAAAGTAATTGATTATACAAAGAAATTCTAAGCTAATACGCGAAATTAGGTAAAATAACCAAAATGCCCCTCGGGCCCACATCTCGGAATCAGGTAAAATTTATATTTTTAGAATCCCCATACTCTCACGAGTTCATGCATACCAAAATTATCCAAATCTAATGTCAAATTCTCAATCAAAAGTCGAATTCTAGGTTTAAGAACTTTCTTCCAATTTTTCCCCAATTTTCATCTCCAATCCGAAATTAAATGATGAATTCATGTTTAGATTAATAGGTTACAAGCAAAAAGGAGTAAGGAACAGTTACCCAATTGATATCTCTAAAAATTCCTCAAAATCTCGCTCAAATCCGAGCTCCCAAACTCTAGTTTTGATAAAAATTGCTAAAGCCTCGACTTTGAAATTTTATAATCTGCCCAGGTAAATCCTTCTCCGCGAACGCGGAAGGACCCTCGTATTCGTGAAGCACAACTTCGCTTGGCCCAGATTTCCTTCATCGCGAACGCGATGCCCCTGTCACAAACGCAGTAGCAGCCTTCTCCCTCCTACGCGAATGCGGGACCCTCTTCGCGAATGCGTAGGCATACGACCTCACAGCTTCGCGAACACGGGGACATCATCACGAACGCAAAGCGTTTAGCTTCCTTCAGCCCCAGCTTCTCTTCACGAACGCGAGACCCCACTCACAAATGCGAAGGAAACCAGAACTGGAGACCTGCTACATTTTCTGCAATTCTCTAAGTCAAAAATGACCCGTTAAGCATCCAAAACACACCCGAGGACCCCGAAACCTCAACCAAACATGCCAACCAATCCTAAAACATCATTCAAACTTGTTCCAACCTTCGAAATACTCAAAACAACATCAAAACACCTATTCTTTATCGGATTTAAGCCTATGAATTCCAAAAACTCTAAAAATACGCTTTCGGTCAAAAAGTCTATCACACCTCGTCCAAATGACCTGATATTTTGCACACACGTCACATTCAACACTACGGAGTTAATCCAGCTTCCGAAATTCTATTCTGACCCTCGGATCAAAATCTCACTATCGAACCGGAAACTTCAAAATTCGACCTTTCGGTATTTCAAGCCTAAATTAGCTATGGACCTCCAAAACACAATCCGAACACGCCCCTAAGCCCGAAATCACCCAACGGAGCTAACGGAACCATCGGATTTCCATTTCGATGTCGTCTTCACACTGTTCCAACTACGGTCAACTTTCTAACACTTAAGCTCTTATTTAGGGACTAAGTGTCCCAAAACTCTCCGAAACTCAAAACCGAACATCCCGACAAATCAAAATAGCAGAAATAAACTCGGGGAAAGCAGTTAATAGGGGATCGGGGCGTAATTTCTTAAGACGACCGGCCGGGTCGTCACATCCTCCTACACTTAAACATTCGTTCGTCCTCGAACGAGCATAAAGACATACCTGAAGTAGTGAAAAGATAAGGGTAATGGCTGCGCATATTCTGCTCGGTCTCCCATGTCGCCTCCTCGACCGGCTGACCCCACCGCTGAACCTTTACCGATGCAATGTTCTTTGACCTCAACTTTCTAACCTGCCTGTCCAGTATTGCCACTGGCTCCTTAACATAAGATAGATCCTTGTCCAATTGGACTGAACTGAAATTCAACACGTGCGACGGATCACTATGATACCTCCGGAGCATCGAACATGAAATACCGGATGAACTCCTGCCAAGCTGGGAGGTAAGGCAAGCTCATAAGCAACCTCCCCAACATGCCTCAATATCTCAAAAGGGCTAATAAACCTCGGACTCAACTTCCCTTTCTTCCCAAATCTCACAACGCTCTTCATAGGCGAAACCTGAAGTAGAACCCGCTCTCCAACCATATAGGAAACCTCATGAACCTTCCGGTCCGCGTAAGTCTTCTATCTGTACTGGGCTGTACGGAGTTTATCCTAAATCACCTTAACCTTCTCTAAAGCATCTTGAAACAAGTCTGTGTCCAATAGTCTAGCCTCACCCATTCAAACCAACCCACCGGGGATCTACACCGCCTACCATATAAAGCCTCATACAGTGCCATCTGA